AAAAAAAAAAAAAAAAAACTCTTTCGGGTTTGCTGTACCTTTTTATTGCTTAGTCATGTTCCTCACAAAAAAACAATAACAATACATGATCAAAAAAAAAAAAAAACAATAATATACACAGCTAACGCCGTATCACTTGCATAGCAGAGGGGAAAGGAAGCAGAAGAGTATTTCCCCATCCAAGCCAAGAAAGCGATCATGTGTGACGGAGACTGCAGGCCTCTGGGCTTCCTCTTAGGCCTTCCCTTTGCCTTTCTCTCACTCATCATCTCCATTGTCGGCGTTGTTATTTGGATTTTCGGGTTAGTAATTCTTTCTCTCTCCTCAACGCTTTCTGGGTGTTTAATATTTCTTAATTCTGCTTTGTTCTTTCATTTCTCTACAAGTTTTATCTTGTTTTGGATTTTGCTATTTCTATCATTATTGGGATCTGGGTTTGCTCTAATTTCTCTTATCTATCTGTAAAAGGTTACCCTTTTCAAGTATTGATGCCTTTTAGTCTCTGGATTTTGTTTATGTGATTTGGGTATTTTCTAACTTGTAGTAATTTTTTTCCTGTTTCTAATTTCCCTTTCCGATGTGAATTTTTTACTTTTCACTTTCTGATTTTCTTTTAGTTTTTCTGGGATTGGGTCTTATATTAGGAGGCCTGGGAGTGGTATTGCTTACCAACCCAATTTTTTCTGGGTGTCTCTCAGGATTTCATGATTTTGCTGAATAATTGGTCATTTAGTTTGTAAAATTTTGGTGTGAATTGTGTTGATCAATATTGTTTTTCTTATTGGTATATTAAAAGATAACCGCCAAGTATTGCAGAAATCTAATTACATGATCTAAACTATAAAAATTCGATTGTGATTGTAATTGTGATTGTGCAGATTGTTGCTGACATTAATATGCCCTTGCTGTTTGTGCGTGACGGTCATAGTGGAGTTGGCTCTGGAGTTGGTGAAGGCACCAATTCATGTTATGGAGTGGTTCACTGAGCAGATCCCTTGTTGATTTGTACTCCCTTTCTCTGTTCCTTAGATTTTACTGTCATAAGAGATTCATATGATATGGATTTTATGTTGGCTTGTTTTGGATTTCTCTCTCGATGTTAATTGAGGTATAATATGGGAGAAATTTGGAGAAATTTTCATGTCATAATGCTGTTCAAAACAAAAAAAAAACTTCATGTCATAATGCATCCTATAAAACATTAGAATTTTTACAGTTTCTCTTTTGATTCCTCAATTTGTTTGCATTTTTAAGTTCTACTTCGGTATGAGAAATGAGAGATTATCATGGTATTAGAACATTTACTATTTCTTTGTTCAATTTCACAATATTTAATTAATAGCAGCTTAATTTGTTTGCACTTTTTATTTTTACTCCAGTTTCTGAGAAATCGGAGATGATCATAGCATTAGGACCACAGGGTCGTGAACCTTTATTGATTATTCTGATATTTTTCTTGGCATTTGTTCTTTCTAAAAAAGGTGGAATTGGTTGTTGCTTTTTTCTCTTTTTGGCCATCCTAGCGGCTGTTATTTTTTCCTTTTTTTTTTCTTTGGTAGAAGTCTAATGGCTGTTGCCTTTTTCTTTTTTATTTGGCCCGTCTCTAATGGCTGTTGCTTGTTCTGTAACTTTGCTGAGGAAAACTTTAATAAGTGACAAGGGGAAAAGAAAGAGGCAGATGATATGCCGAAGGCTGAAAGTGTCTTTATCGTTTTTTTTTTAAAAAAAAAAAATAATTTATTTTATGGTATAATATATATGTCATATATTGAGTATTATGAAATAAGGAAAAAGAAGTAGCAAAATCTGTAGTGAAGTTTTTTGCTTCTTATTTTATCATATTCAACCATACAAACTTATAAACCTATATATAAGCTAAGGAAGGTGGAGGTTACATAGTTTAATAATTGAATTTAGCAGATGCATAAATCAAACTTAGTGGGTAAATAAATGGAACTAAGTGGATACATGAATGACACCTAGTGATAGAGATGAGTATTCGATACAGATACGCTCATTACCTGTAAGTAATTAACATGTTTGGAAAAATACAATACTCAAATTATGAAAAAATTAGGTAAGTAGCGGGTATAAAAAGATAATACTTACAAGTATTAAGTCAAATATAATACTTATAATACTCAATTTCTTACTTATCACTGTTTATTGTAGAATTGATCTATGTTGAGTTTTGTCTTTGGATTTAGCCAGGGTAGGAGAGAAATATTTAATTTAGGATTGTCCTAAATTTTTAGGCTATATTTATAATTCCTTTATTTGTGTTTAGGAAGGGATTTTGCTTGATTCATTTCCTTTTATAATTTTAATTTAATTTATTTGTCATTATAAATTGTTATTCGGTTGAGTAGGTGATTTAATTAGAATTTTTTTAATATGTAATCACTCATTTAACGTTTTTTTGATTTTGTAATTTGTACATAAAAAAATGAGAAAACAGAAAAACAAGTGAACCTAAAAAAAAATTGCAGGAAAACCTTATTAAAAGGACAACATTTCTTTTAAAATGCGAATTTTTCATCTCTTTTGTTAGAATACCACGCTAATCCTCTTCTCCCATGAGCTGAAATCTCCCTTATCCAATTCCCCAAAAAAAAAAAAAAAAGAAACGCCTTCCCTACTCCTCAAGACCCCGTCGTTGCCAGAGCCTGTCGTCGTCGAAGCCCAACGCCGCCAGAAGTTGCAGTTGTTTTCTTCTCTAATTGAACACAGTGAGCTCATTCCTTCCTTTTTTTTTTCCCTTCTTCCCAGATGATATGCTCTTAGTTACCTAAACAATAATTGAATGGTCTCAGCTACCTTAACAGTACTTGAATTTGTTCATGTATTTTGCTACATCAAAGTGCTTAGCGTTCTCCTAAACACTCCTAGAATTATAGCAGTAGTATAACATCTCCTAAACAAATAAAATATCTTAGATTGTCCACAATAGTGTGTTAAATTGGAGAAGAAAACACCCAGCAGCGATGGGCTCGGGCAAGGAAGGGGTCTAACAGCAATCAACTTAGGTGAGGAGAGGGGATTTTAGTTCATAAGGGAGAAGCGGACAAGGGGTTCAACGATACAGAAAATGGAATTCCCATTTAAAAAAATGTATTGATAAAGTCGTCCAATAATTCCTTTTTGCAACCAACGGACAATTAATATGAGTGAAGACGCTCTGTTTTTTTTAAATAAGATTTCGAGTTTGAGTCTTATAAATGAAGAAATAGGTATTGAGAAAGCTTCCCCTGATGGATCCGACGCGAATCAATTCTAAATTAGTTGAATCCAATATACTTATAAGATACTAAAAAGTTAATAAAAAAAATTCTTTTTTGCAGGTGGACTTGCTTTCCCGTTTTTCTTAAAAAAATTATTTTAATTTTTTTAAGTAAGGTTTCGAGTTTGAGTCTTGTGAATAAAGAAATAGGCGTTAAGAAAGCTTTCCCTGATAAATCCGACACGAATAGATTCTAAATTAGTTAAATCCAATGTACTTATGAGATACTAAAAAGTTAATAAAAAAAAATCTTTTTTGCAGGTGGACTTGCTTTCCCGTTTTTCCTAAAAAAATTATTTTAATTTAAATAGTAATTTGAAGCAATATATTTCAACAAGTACATAATTTTGCTCACAAGTTATTAGTATTTATTAGGTTAAGCACCAAACTATAGGTCTTCAAGAAGTTGAAAAAATTGAATTCTAAAATTTTTAAGTCAAACACTAAATATAATGCATAATCGATTTGTACCTAAAAGTTCATCTCCACTTAGTTGTAGAAGATGAAAACATTAAAAGTGAAATATCCACTAAAATACAAAATTTAAAATACTATCAATTAGATATTTACCTTTTATTATTCAGTTGTTAAACTTTCTCATTAAAAACCTTATTAGGAAAAATCCAATTGAAAAAAATCATAGCAAAGGAAAAAATAGTGCTTGCATAATGCTTCTTCTCACTTCAACAAAGGTCCCTGAGGTGATAAATGTCTATCTTGCATACAAGCTGCTCAAAATTTTTGCCAGCAATGATTTTGTAAAAATATCTATAGGATTCTTACTCAAATTAATTTGTTGAACTACTACAAAAAAGGGGGGCTATTTGCCAGCACTAAATGTGCCGAAAAATAAGTAAAAACTGCTGGAAATATATTATTTTTTAATGTATAATGTTAGAAATTGTCACTGTAAAAAAAATGCTTAGAAAATAGTTAGTTTCCAATGCCGTGTGATGCGCTGAAAAATAACTTACAATATGTTATAGCGTAGAGCATTGAAAAATATATATAAATGACAAGACAATAACGTGTTATTACTTATCGTTGATCTTTTTTCTTTTTTCAATGCATTATGCTAGAAAATGATCTTGACTATAACTCTCATCAGCTAAGACACTTCCAGTACTCAATGTTGTCCAAAAATAGAGTTTTTTTTTTTTTCAACATAGTACACTGGAAAATGAGGTTGAGGATAATGTATATGATTAATTCATTTTCCAGCAAAATATGCTAAAAACTCTTGTTCAAATGAGAAAAAAAAATATTAAATTGACTATTAGTTTACAATAGAATGCACAAGAAACAAAAAGTCACTTAACGAAAAAATATATAATTTTCATTTTTTAAATGTTATAAATTTCAATTAAAATAAATTCTAATTGTAATACATATATATACACACACACCACATACAAATATCTTAAAAATAATATCATTTGAATAAATAAAAGTACTTCACATGTAATAAATGAATTAAATCAATTTATATTAATAAACACCACACATATAAAACATAATAATATTTGACAAACTTTACTCTATAAATTCAATCATATACAAAGCTTTACATAATACATGTATTCTCTTAATTCTTTTTCCAAATAAATTCAATTAAATACATAAATATACCTTAGTGCCATGTAATTCATAAAATTACAAAAGATATATACAGAATTAAATTAGCTATATGCATGAGAGCTTATAAAAATAGAATGAATGAAAATTAGACTACTGATAAATTGAAATGAACAATAGCTCTAATTTCAACATTTTAAAATAAATTAGTTGCTAGGAAAAATATAAATGAATTAGTGTAACATCCAAATGAATATTAGAAAAAAATAACAAATGTAAATTAATAATACCTTTAATTGGAATGAATGGACATATAACTATATACCTAATTTGTTTATTGATGTTAATGGGTTTGAGTATCCCTTGTACTCACTTAATAAATTTCTTTTTGCTTTTCAAAAAAAAAAAAATTAGAATACTTCTTAAGTGAATATTAGTATAAATTAAAAAATTTGAGGAGAGGAAGAAGAGGAAATGGAATGAAAATTAGAAAACAATTATAAATGTAAAATTAATAATACCTTCAATTGGAATGAATGAACATATAACTATATATATGCCTACAAAGAGAGAGAGAGAGAGAGAGAATGAATTAGTACACTTTTTAAGTAAAAATTAGCAAAAATTAACAAATTTGAGAAAAGGAGGATGAGGAGACGAAATGAACATGAGAAGGAATCTAGAAGAAAATGAAGAGGAAATAAATAGAGAACATGAAAAAGAAAGTAGAATAAAAGGAGAAGAAGGAAATGGAGAGAAATAGGAAGTAGAATAAGTCGTAAAGGAGAAAATGAAGAAGTAGAGAGAGAGAAAGTAGATTTATATAGACATTGAATTATTTTCCAATGCATTGCACTTAAAAATAATCTAAGTTTTGAAAATTAGAAGCGAAAAGGCAACATTTCTGAAATTTTTAGCAATAGGATGGTAAAGAATACTTATTTTCCAATGCAATGCACTGGAATATGATCTAAATTTGAAAATAGCAAAAGAGAAGACAGCATTTCAAAATTTTCCAATGGAGAATGGTGCAGAATACTTATTTTCCAATACAACGCGCTAGAAAATAATCTAAATTTTGAAGCTTGCAATAGAATAAGGCAACATTTCAACAAATTTTAAGGAAATGGCAAATAATGCTTATTTTCTAGTGCATTGCATTAGAAAATACTTCAAAATTTGAAAATTCAAAGAGAGAAATCAACACTTATTTTTTTGGGAATGGCACTAAATAATATAATTGTTCCTAGAGCGAAGGGTGGAATTTTGTAAAATTCTATTAAAATCACA